TTTCCACGTTAGGAGTAGCAATAATTTGTCCATTTTCATTATTGTAAGGCTCAGCTATATGCACATGTCACCATTTATATATCCACTATACAGCCAAAATGTGAGTGTTTCCAGCTGGGAGCTACTACAAATAATGTCACTATGAACATTCTTATAAATGTCTTCTGGTGCACGTAGGTATACATTTCTGCTGATTTAGGAATGGCATTGCTGGGTCATGGGATATGTGTTTGCTCAGTTTCAGAAAATACTGCCAAAGAATTTTCCATCAAAATTTGCTAATGTTCATCTCACCAACAGCATGTGAAAATTCCCATTAGCAACATTTGATATTGTTAACTCTTTTTCAAACTTCATTAATCCAGTGAATATGCAGTAGTATTTTATTGTGTATTTAATTTTTATTTCCCTGTTGGCTAATGAGGTTGAGAGCCTTTTTATGTTTATTGGTCATTTAGGTACCTTCTGTGAAGAAGTTCATGCCTTTGGCCACTTTTTTTTTTCTATTGGGTGTTTTGTATTTTTCTTTTTGATCTGAAAGTGTTCTTTATATATTTTGGATAGAAATCAATTGCTACCTATATGATTGCAAATATCTTCTTTCACACTGTGGCTTATTTTTTCACTCTGAATGGTGTTTTTGATGAGCAGAAGTTTGATATCACCCCATTTATATAACTTGTATTTTATGATCAGTGCTTTTTTATGTTCTATTAAAAATATCTTTCTTCCTCCAAGGTCATTCACATTTTATCTTACGTACCTTTAAAACTTTATTATTTTACTTTCACAAGCAGTTCTATGATCTATGTGCAATTTATTCTGTGTATGATGTGAGGCATGGGGCCAATAGTCACCTTTATCTCTGTGGCTACCATTTGTCTTGGCATAATTTACTGAAAACATCACTTTCCTCCAATTACTCTGCAGTACATTCTTTATCATACATCAAGTTTCCATATATTTGTGAAATTTCTTTGAACCCTAAACTGTTCAACTGGCCTATTTTTCTTTTCTTGCTTTAGTGCACTGACTTAATTTCTGTGATATCTGGTAAGATATGCCCTCCAATTTTGTACTTCTTTCTCCAGATTATCTTGGCTATTCTTGGACCTTTGCATTTTCATATCCATTTTTAAAATTTGCTTGTCAATATCACAAATACATGCTGGGACTTCCATTTAGATTACACTAAATCAATACATCAATTGGAGGAGGATTGGCACTTTCAACAATACTGAGTCTACCTACCAGCCCCTGAACACTGATCATTGAGTTAAGATGCAGGTGAACACTGTCCTAATCACTGTGCTGAGCTCAGAGGTGGTTCTTGCTCTGGAGAGATTTACAGATAAATGTGTAAACAAATACATAAACACAAAATATAATGGAAAGTAATAGCTTCACCATTGTTACAAAGTATTAATATTTACTAAGTGCCCACTATAAGGACTTAATAAGTATTAATTCATTTATATTTTGAGGTAAGTGTGGTTATTAAGCAAATAATGTAGATATTTTTATGAAAAAGTATATTGTGTTTTTGAGCTTTAATATAGATATGATTTCTGAAAGGCCTTTGCAAATATGGAAAATAACTTCCAGATCTCTTTATTTTTTATTTTTATTTTTTGGTAATGGGGATTGAACACAGTGGTACTTTACTACTGAACTGCACCTCCAGTCCTTTTTATTTTTTATTGTGAGACAGGATCTTGCCAAGTCGTTGTGATCCTCCTGCCTCTCAGCCTCTGGAGTCACTAGGATTACAGGCATGCGTAGGTCCTCCTTATTCAAGGATCTTTGGAGACTCAAGAATTACTGAACTTGATGATTGCAGGTTACCAATGAGGAGGAAGACAATTCAATGACTTCTCAAAAAAGAGTGAAGTTACAAGTCTCAATTATTTTTATTTACTTTTCAAAAAGTGCTCAACATACTTTTTAAGAGAGCTGAGAGACACATTTAGATAAGCATCTTAAAATATAAGGTAAGACTACAAAAGCAGTGTAACAGGTTTTCCTGCATCACTTGTAAACTGGATTAGAAGGCAATCCCCAGAATTTCAGAAATGTTAGTTTATATCAGGATAAATGCCTTGAACTATAAGCAAGGCACCTGGATTCCACTTGCCATCTTGCGTGGTCTGATCATGAAGTCTCTCCACTTCCGGATATCAGAAGCCCCATCCCAGAAGGCAAGGGGCTCAATCAGGTCATCTTTAATATCCTCTCCAGCTGTTCTGTTGTAATGCCAGGAAATCAGAGTAACAAGTTCCAGGCTGCTTGGGGTCAGGGGATTTTTGAACCTTTGTTCAATGTATGCAATGTATGGTACTTTAAAAAATTTGTCTTCCTTTTTTGAGTCTTTTTTATTTTTTTAGGTAAAGAGTTTTCATTGTAAATCTCACAAATCAATCTCATTTCCAAATACCTTCCCTTTCCCTCTCCCTGATCATTTGCATATATATATATATATATATATATATATATATATATATATATCTCCCATCATGTTCTTCTGCATATTTAAGTATATTTTCTTATTTAACAGTGTCTTCATCATTACATTTTTCATTTCTTACATTTATTTACTTATTTATTTAGGCTTCTGTTTTAAGTTTCTTCAAGGTCTCTTTGGAGTTGTAGATGGTAAAAGCTTCACCCCCTCTCCACAAGATTTACCACCCTGATCTAAACCCCCCCTACCCTGGCTGAGTTCTAGGACCTTGGAAAGATGGGGGGCAGAGCCCAGCTCCAGCCTCCCCTTCCCTTGGAAGTGCTGGAGCTTCAGGTGTCAGATCTATCGCAGCATTTTGTTTGGAGCTGAGTTTGGCCTGGATGGCTATGGTGACACATTCACGGCCACAGGACTAAGGTCTCTGGTTCTTGGCTCTGGCTTTTACCCTTGTTCTTGGCACCAGCTTTCCTCAGGCATCTTGGTGCCAGAAGAAAGCCAGGCTGAGTGGGTTCCCACTCCTGCCCCGGGCGGCTTCAGCCAACAATTGCAGGGCAACATCTCTCCCTGGGAGGCCTGTAGGTATGTTTAACCTTGATGGGGTCCCAGAAAAAGAGCACCCAGACTTTATGGAGAAGTCAGAGGAAACATCACACAAAAGATGAGAATCTAGTTGGGTTCTGAAGTTTGCCAGGAACTGAGCAAGTTGGACATTCCAGACATATCAGCAGTATATGAAAAATCCTTTAGGGTGAACCGATCGGGCTTTCCAGGAGACTGCCAGTGAGTGAGTCTCAGGACCTCTGTGGTGGCTGGGAGGGGGAATAGGGTAGGTGAAGCTGGAGAGGTAGAGCCTGGGCCCTTTTGGCCTGTGGAGTTTGAGTTTGTACTGAAAGCAGAGGCTGCTTGTCCAGCTTAGGTTGGGTTTCCCAGAAACTGCCTATATTCATTTTGGAGGGCTGTCAGATGCATTACCACCAACCAATGATTTAAAACAACAGAAATATATTTTCTCATAGTTCTAGTGGCTAGAAGTGGAAATCAAGATGTGAACAGAGTTGGTTCCAGTTTGAGGAATTTGGAAGACTAAATGCTTCTCCCCATTTATATATGATAATTATGTAAGTGATATAGGAAATATTTTTTAAAGTTTAAAAAATGAATAATCAGCCAATACTCACAGAAGACCCATATCATGATGATATATCCAGTATGTGAACCATGGGTAGAATATTAAACTGGAGGGGAGGGACTTTCAATTTTGGCACTAAATTGGCCTCTGGATGGTTTAATGGCTCTGAGTATGTCTGTGGACCTCTTGGTTTCATATCTGTCAAATTTGGATTGGAAGGCCAGACTGGAGGATACTTGGGATCCACTGAAGTTCTAATAGTCTATAATTCCATAACTAAAGTCCAGCATCTTAGCACTTTAATTCAGGCAGCAAAGTAACTTATACCCAAATTTACATCATTTTGAAGAAATTTGAATTGAACATCAATTCGATGCTTGGTACTGGGTAGTAAGATACAAAGGTAATAAAAACACTAGCCACTCTCCTTCATTCACTCACTATCCAGTGGGAAAGACAGGTTAGCAGAGAATTTCAATTCAACAACAACAACAAATTACAGTAAAATATTTCCATCTCAAGAGTTTGCAAACCTAACTGGGGGGCAGAGGGTGGCCATCATTGCCTTGCTGAGAAGGCCCTTGAGCTAGATTTCAATGGAGAAAGTTTTCTTAGTAGATATGGGAAAGAGATGTATAGTATAGTCACAATGCCAGTTGCTATAACAAATGGCCCCTCACAATGTAAGTGTATATTCCATTCATGCAAAATATAATATGGATATTTTTGGTCAGTGGGTGATTCTTTGAATGCTAATTGAGAAACCCATTTTCCTTCCATCTCTGACCACTTCCCTGGGCCATCAGAGTCCTCTGAAGGATCTCCTGAATTCAGCAGGCAGAGGTGAGAGAGTGAGAGTGGAGGATCATGGGAAAGTCTGTCAGGGCCAGACTTGGAAGCAGCGTCTATCATGTCTGTCCATGGCCGACTTGGACACATGCAGACCTACTTGCAAGGGAGGCTGGGAAATGGAGTTAGTGGTTTCCACGAGAAAAAGGAAATGTGTTCCATAGAACATGGAGTAGCCTGCGCTACAAAAGGCATCCTAAAGGAGTTTGTGAGAGTCTCTCAAGCCAATCTAATGGAAGCATAGAGATCATTGTCCAGTTCCAAGTTTCCAAGGAGGGATTATCAGTATCCATCTGGGGTTACTGAGAGAGAGCTCACCCCAGCCATGGTTGGTTCAAGAATTTTCAGGTGAGAGAGCAGATCAGGCATTAATCAGGTTCTGAAATGTCTGAGGGAGCCAAATGGCAGTAGGTTTCTATTCCACAGGTAAGTCCCATTGTCCTCGGCCCCTCAGCCCCACAGGGGTGAACGTTGATGGAGAGCCCCACCCATCCCATTTGATAAATGAAGCCCAGTTGATCCCTCTGCTTATAAGATGCTCTTTTTTTTTTTCTCTCACAGTGACACTTTCAGCTGCTCCCCCCTCCTACTTCAGAGGCTTCACATTGATTGCCCTCAAAGAGAACAGAGAAGGTGATAAGGAAGAGGACCATGCTGGCACCTTCCAGGTAGGAACCCCTAGGGGGTTTCCAGCAGTCCTCCTGCCCTGGCAGGTGGGCGCCAAGTGAAAGGCGGACACACTGAGGAGTGAAAGGAGAGGGGCAGTGTCTCCAGTGACTTCTCACACAGCTCTCTGACTACTGGCCCGGTGGGCCAGCTCCATGTGAAAGACCATCACGGAGGAGGTGGCACAAGCCTTTCTTAGTGAGGTTGGCCACCCACAGGGTTCGCAGTGTCCTGGCAGATCACGCTGCTCTGCGGCTCTTCTCTGGGCTCTCGGTGCCCTTGGCAGCGGGCAGCCAGTGCATTGAGTGCACTTGGAACCCTGGCTGGGCCCTGCGGTTTCCCCTGAGCAGGCATTTTATGATTGACTGGTAATTCTCAAGTGTAAACGGAGCAAGAGCCCAGGACAGCCAGACTGGAGGGAGTTCAAAGCACAGGAGAAGGACTATTAAGGGAACGTAGGGATTGATTTATGAGGGAAGATTAAAAGAATTACACATGCTTTGCTTGGCTAAATGAACAGGGCTGAGTTTAAGAGGTGGTAATAGTCTTTGAATGTCAGTCCTCGCAAAGCAGTCTCCACAAGGCAAGGCTTCCTTTGACTTTGTACAAAAGGGCACAGCGAGAAGAAAGTGGGTCAAGAGAAGAAAGGGAATCTCAAAGGCAAGGGCCTGACAGTGAGTCATATTTCACTGTGGAATATTCTTCCAAGGGAAGTGGCGGGAACATCAGCCCTCTCACAGGCTTAGGAAGGGGCCAGCAAGTTGTCAGAACACATCCCAGAAGGACTGGGGTAATCCTAGCGGGGAGGCTTGGCCAAATTTGCTGCAACCATTTCTGGTCTCTGATTTCCATTGTTCTGGAATTCATTTTTGTCTGGTATTTGCAAACTCAGAAGGGAAAAAGAAAAACCTTTAGGGAGAATGCTTACACTCATAGCTGGCTGCTGGGAACACTGGTACCATTTATGGGTTCCTCAGAGGACACTACCTCGAAATATCTTCCCATCCAAAGGCATCCTTTTAATCCTTGGGGCCAGGTTATAATTTTTCATCCTATGATTTAAAAACTTTTTTTTCTGTTGTCTGGGATTCTAGGCTTTCTGGCCTAGTGAGACTGTTAATTTTGTGTTTAGTGTCACATCCTCCTATGGCAAGGAAATTCTTTTTGTGTATCCAAAAGAGCACCTGGTAATACTAGTGACAGCCTGTGCTTGTTGAATACTTACTATATGCCAGGCACCATGCTAAGGGCTTTACCTTGTCTTAGTTTGTCTTTACCTTAACTTAGTTTAATTGGCTTACCTTATCTTTGTTTAATTCTCAAAACAGCCCTAGTATTATAGGAACTATTATCCACATTTTCAAACCAGGAAATTAAATCACTTGCCTAAGCCTTCAGCAAGCAACATGGCCAGCTCCATCACACTGATTCCAGAGACGATCTGCTCCCTACAATACCAAACTCACTCCTGGCACAGGTGTGTTTGCACAGTGTATCACCGAGGTTGCCATTACAGGGAAATGGAGATGCAGGCCTGCTTCCTACCTAGAATTCATTAAAGTATAATCCTTCTGGCTTTGTGATAATTTGCCTGGAGGTGTGGGTAATTTATCAGATTTTGGTAGCTGAAAGACCTATGTACCTGAGTAGCAGGAGAGGTAAAGGTCTAAGAAAAGAATACATGTATTGGGGTGGGGTATGAACTTAATCTTCACCAAAGCAAAATTGATTGGCTTTATGATCACCCTTACCATATAGACCCAAAAGAATTGAAAGCAGATTCTATTGCCAAAGTAAGAAATTGTTTGATTTTGGAGTCAATAAGGTAGTTTTTCCAACAAATGTTCATTATAAAATAAATAAATAAATAAATAAATAAAAGAATTGAAAGCAGGCACAGGAACAGATGTTTGTACACTGATGTTCATGGCAGCATTCTGCACAGGAGATGGAAGCAACCCAATTGCCTGCTGATAGACAAAACCTAAGTCACTTGTTCAGTGGAATATTGGCCTCAAAAAAGGACGGAAATCTGATACATGCTACAATGTGGATGAACCTTGAAAACATGATGCTTAAGTAAAATTAGCCAGTCATGAAAAGAACAAATATTATATGATTCCACTTACATGAGATACCTAGGATTCTTTCATAGAGACAGAAAATAGAATAGTGGTTGTCAGGGCCCAGGAGAAAGAGGAAATAAGGAATTATTGTTTAATGGGTATGGAAATAAAGTTTGGGAAAATGAGAAAGGTTCTGGAGATGGATGCTGCATAGCAATGTGAATGTATTGCCATCTCTGAGTCATATCTTAAAAAGAGTAAATTTTATTATATTCTAACACACACACACACACACACACACCCACTAAAGATGCTTAAGAGCAAGGCCATATGGAGACCTGGCTTCTTTCTTTAATGCTGTTTTGGTTTAATTCAATAAGTTGTTAGTCCCTTAACTCAATATTGTTCTGCTCGGATTTATCCTCGTCCTTGCAGCTGATAAGTGAATCCTGGGCCTTTCGCGTGGTGCACAGTGAGTAGATATTTGCTGAAGAAATGAATGAACAAATGCTTCACTTGGTGGTTTCCACAGCTCAGTTCTGTGCAGGACTGCTTCAAAGCCCCTTATCCTTAAGGTTCCTCCTTCCTCCTCCTCTTGGAGCTTCTGTCATCTGTTCTTGTTACCTGACAGGGTACTCAGAGAATGGTCTCAGCAGCAGCAGCAGCATCACCACCTGGGAACTTGTTAGAAATATAAAATCTCAGCCCACCCAGACTCCTGGATCAGCCACTCTGAGGGTGGAGCCCCATGGCCTGAGTTTTAACAAGCCCTCAGGGTGAATCTGGTGCCGCTGGGGTTAGAGAACTGTGGTTGTAATGAGCCGCAGACCAGCACCCTTGGACACACCTGTCTGTTTCTATCTATCCTCCCGTCACTTCCAACCAGCCCGAGAGGGATCAAAGTGGGAGAAGAGCACGGAATGCTTCGCATGCAGTGATCACGCCAGCTAACACTTCCTTAGTGCTGGGGTGCCCGGCGCTGTTCTGTGTGCTTTCCACTCATTAGCTGATCTAATCCTCGGAGCAGCAAACCGAGGTGAGCACATTATCATCCTATTTTTCACAGCTGAGGAACTTGTGGCACAGAACAATTAAGTAACTTGCCTAAAACCACCAGTTAAGTGATGAAGCTGGGATTCAAACCCAGGCAGGATGGCTCTCAAGGTGTACACATTAAGTGAAACAACAAAGGCCTACTATGGCCTTTTATGATAGCAGTCTCTGCACCAAGGTCTTTGTACAATTTTTCCTATTTATTTCTTATGGTGGGCTTGTGAGGTCAATTATGTTCTCCTCACTTTTTTCAGAGGATAAAACTGAGCCTCCAAAGAGTTAAGTAAATTCAGCAAAGCAACTTAACATTGCAAGGGGCCAAAGGCTATGATGGATTTTTTCCTTACACTCCATCTTCCCACCTGAGCTGTGCCCTTGTGCACATTAAAACTCACTCCACTTGGATCCCATTGCCCCACAGACTGTGGGGGAGGAATAACAGCTCCCGCCCATCGTACCTCTCCTGTCTCTAAAAGAAATGGCCACGATCTCAGGCCTTCCTGCTCTAGCAGACAAGTGTCTTCTCTCTGTACCACAGCTGTCATCTCTGGGCCATTCATGTATTTAGCAGCACTTACTGAGTGTCTCCCATGTGCCAGGCACCATGTGAGGCAGGATACAGTGGCAAGAACATTAGACAGCATCCTGTGGTCACAGAGCTGACCTGTCCTCCTCTAGAGTATCCCTTCTGTTACTTCTATTCCTGACAAGTGAGGCAGCTCACAGGCCACCCACTAAGACAGGAGCAGCCAATGGAACCACAAATCCATTGTAATTTAAAAGAAAATAGCGATCGACATATAGTTAGATACACTCTTTAACACCCTAATTCCAAATATGACAACTTCGAGGACTTAGCCACAATAAAATTCAAATACTCTTTGAATCTGGGTAAAGATTACATTCTCAGCTCTAGAAAGGCCTCTGAGAATGGGTTGTTTGCTTCTACATGAGCGAATCCTTACCCAGAGAACCAAGTATTAGCTCAACAAAAACGAACTTCAGTGCTGCCTTCGACTTGGGGGGAAGGGAATGAGCTTCCTGGCACAGGGGAGAGTAAGGGTGAGGACCCCCCACCTCCCACCCCACCTACAGACTAGGGAGAGGGGGTGGACCAACTTCAGCTCCAGCAGTGGGTTCCAGGGTAGCGGCATTGGCAGGCCAAGGTGGTTGTCCCTGGCTGCCAGAGAGTCTCTTAGAGCTAGCTGGGTGTACCCATGGTTAGTTGGAAGAGGAAAGGAATTCAGAGACTGTGCAAAAGTACCCACCATCCTTACATTTTGTGCTACTAAAAACTAAGTGCTCCCTGGACTGCTCTGGGCCAGCCAGCTGCCCCACTCACTGTCTTCCTTCCTCCAGGTCTCTGTTCTTTCCTCCTTTCCAAGGAAATCCTGCCCTGAACACCCTGTGTAAACCTCCACCCCGCCTAACTGAAGTAAATTAACTAGTAATCTAAATTTTACTAGTGTAGGTAACAGTCTGGCCCCTGGACTCACTCCCCTCTCCCACTCAGTTTTTTTCCATTGCAGTTACAGCCTCCTGACATGCTATTAATTCCACTTATTCTTGTATACTCTCAGCCCCCTTCTGCTGAACCATAAATTCCATGAGGATTTTTATCTGTCTCATTTGCTGCTACGTCCCCCACCCCAGCAGTGAACACACCCAGCATAGCATAGGCACTCAAATATTTATTGAGCTGAGCGTGGTGGCACACACCTATAATCTCAGCAATTTGGGATGCTGGGGAAGGAGGATTGTGAGTTCAAGACCAGGCTCAGCAACTTAGCGAGGCCCTAAACAATTTGGCAGAGCTCTGACTCAAAAAATAAAAAAGGGCTGGAGATGTGGCTCACTGGTTAAGCACTCCTGGGTTTCATCCC